CCATTTTCATAGGACACATACATGGGGTTGTTCATTCCGACACATGGAATCGGATTAAATGTTCTTCAGGTGCCTCTCCATAAAATGATGCTGTGTTCGGATCTGTTTCAGGGTGAAGTAGCGGTTGGCGTGCGGCCCGCTCTGCCCATAGATGGGGTCACGATGATACTGGGTAACGACATTGCAGGTAGTCGTGTGTGGGCTGATGGGGCACCTCCAGCTATTATGGCGCCAGTGCCCCTGGTTAGTATTAAGCCAGACAAGAGCGAAACTGAGTACCCTGACGTGTTTAAAGCATGCGCTGTGACATGGGGAATGAAACGTGGGCAGGCAGAGGTCATGAGCACAGCTGAAATCGATGAGGCCTCACCGCAGCATGGGGTGACGTGTCTCGAGATTCCCTGGTCGGTTTCTCACGCTGGGCTGGTGGAGGAACAGCGTCCTGATGCATCTCTGGAGGGTCTAAGGGAGAGTGTTCTTCGTGGTGGTGAGGTGAGAGGTCGTGCTCAGGGGTATTCGCTTCAGGAGAGTGCTGGTATTTTGCTGGTGAACCGGTTTACCAGGTCGGGGTGTCTTCCAGGTTCCGTAGCATGGCGGGTGTGAAGGACCAGGGTACAGAAAAACAGGAGTGCAGGTTGAGGTGCAAAAATACGGATTTTATTGACCCAATATATGTACAGTTTTAAGATGGGTAATAAAATCAATTAGGTTTAAACAAAAAGGTGTAGATATCAACAGACACAATCTAGCATGTAAACGCATAAGCAGAACGTCACAAAAATGGGTGACATCCTGTGTGCTCTTCTGTCCAAGAGCAACTCACATACCCCCCTCATCTCCACACTGCAGGAATTTATAGCACTACTGGTCAGTCCATTATTGCATGCAGGGAAAAGAGGCTCTAAAAAGGGGTGGCCTCTTCAAACACCCCTCAGGGTTTGAGAGGAATGGTGTAGTCCAATTAGCTGACACATCTATAAAGGCAGGTGTTTCCCATCAGCTCAGCCTTTTGCCAGGAGCAAGGTGAGCTGTAAGACACTGACAATAGGATTACACACAACACAAATCACAATAGATATTTTAAACAAGATTGCGCGCACTCAATCTAGCAAAATAAAGCTGTTTTAATCAATGTGTCTGTGTAATGTAAACAAAATCATAACATTTACGATGTGTGTTCGTTTGTGAGGCTTGTAGCCCTCACAGCGGGAAAGAAGAAAAAAAAAAAAGGGAAGAAAAATGTAACTCGTTATAGTTAGCTGAACTAGTCAGTAACTTGTTTGTTTTTTCTTCGTTGTTGTGCGCGCCATGTTCTTTGTGGGGTGTTTTTGTTTGTGTGTAGGTACCAGGGTTCCGATGGGGACCCTGATTTTATGGCGGGGCTGTGACGGCCCCAGAGCCTGTGTGCAGGTGTGTTACAGGTCTTACGGTTGGGTGCAGCTGAAGAGGCCAATCAGCGCGATCGCGGACACCTGGCTGGAGCCGAGGTGCTATTAAGCCCAGCTGCCCGGAGTCACAGGGCGGCCCTGACTCTCTCCAAGCCGGCCGCAGGAGGAGTAACACGGCGATCCTCTCCCCTCGTCCATCCATCTTGTGCATTATACTGAACAACCGCAATAAATGTGCCGTGGCTTTTGGAAACTTTTGTACGTCTTGTTATCTTTCCGTTGTGGCCTACGAGCCGGTCATAACAAGCACAAGCCCATGTTTCACTACATTGTAAGTACAACTTATTAAAAAGATCAGTTCAATGCAACTAATGTCGTCTTAGTGTTATTGCTTGATGTTAAAATTGGTTTGCCATGAATTTAGTGATGGATTGTAAACATTTGAAATGTAGCATTTACGTTTTTCTCAGTTACAATGTTGTTGTTTTAATAAATCAGACACCGATGGTGCAGCGCTGTACTGTACCTCTTTATATAGGCATTTTGTCCCTAACAAATTGTTTTTGCGCTGATCAGGGGGTACTTGGCGGAATATTTTTTTCAAAGGGGGTACATCATTGAAAAAAGTTTGAGAACCACTGCTCTACCAGATGTTATGATAAAATATGCAATATTTTAAGGTATTTTCTTCAAAAATGCGAAGACCCAAAAGGCACCCGATTCAGAGAATCACCCAGCTATCGTAGCAGCTATATATGAAAACTCAGTTTTTGCCATAAATATGACTGGATTACCAGTAATCATTTCAAAGTGACAGACACATTGGATTAACCTTCAACAGCGTTTTTATCGTTTTAATGCCATTGAACACAACTTTTGATCAGAACAACAGCTAAGGTAAGACAAAGTCCCGTTTCTGCTCCGTAAAGCTCCGTGTTGTGATGTCTGTTTGCTTCCCCTGTCGCAAATTCAGATTGCTCAGTGATGATACTTATGCCTCTAGAATCTGTGGAATCTCAGTTTGCTAATCGATATCTTGTTTGTGTAGATCTGATATGTAATAAGGGTATTTATACCTAGAGTTCTGTGCTAAGTGTGTTAGCATATTTTCGCTCAGGGCTCATTTAGACGCTTCTTGTGAGACTTGTGTTTTGTTTCGGTAAAAATGGTTCGTATCGTCAGTTAGCTGAGTTTCTTCCCGTTAATCGGGTATGACACATTAAAGGTGGGGTATGTAAGTTTGAGAAACCGGCTCGAGATACACTTTTTGTTATATTCCATGGAATGCTCTTAACATCCCGATAGCAATTAATATCTTAAGTGCTTTGACAAAAAATCCATTAAAAAAACGTCATCTGTGGAAGCCGTAGTACTGTAAAAAGCACGACCAATCATTTTAGCCAGCCCAGCCCGGCTCATTTATAGAAATCCAATAAATAGGTACAGACATTTTCCGACATTTTCCGATTCACCAAACATTGCGTACCGGCGAGGAAAGTGCGTACGGCACTTCCTACGCCGGTTTCCCTTTATAAATCACAACCGACTCGAAATGCGGTGCAGCTTTTGCGGGCTTCACGTAACGCCCATATTTGCCTATAAATAGTCAAAGAAACGCCCATTCATTCATTCATTTTGACTGACTTTATGAAGAAGATCGCAGGAAATGACGACAGAACAGCTAAAAAAAGACATCTCACACCGTGTCAGATTTTGGTTATTTTGGGGAGGTGGAGATAAATCATATTGTTTGGTGGATGCCGTTTGAACCAGAGTAGCAGCATGGAGGTCGGATCGTCACCAAAATAAATAAATAAGTGGTCCGAAAAAGGTTCATGACAAAAAAAATACACATAGCCTTCCTCAGGCAGTGTGTTTGTACCGGGGACAGGAGACACCCCCTTGATGAGAGACTGTAAGACATGATCGGGGAATCCCTCCGGAGTGGAGTCATGACGACTGGATCTGAATTATGTTTTCGTATTTGGTGGTTTGTGTTCCAGCTGTCGATCAGCTGTGCGCAGCGTCTCTACTGCAGCAACTCTATATCCACCAGTTAAAGGAAATACAACTAATGTGTTGTGTTATATTAGCTGTACAATTTACCACATATGGTGTTCTTAGTTTCCATACCTCCTGTGTTTTATGAGCGACTTATCAAGTCTTAGCAAACGGCATAAAACATGATTAAACATGGTAGTAAATAAAACCATGCTCGTACAACCTATAGAAATGCAAAACCGCATCATTTATGAGAAAACATTTCATAACATTAACACAACATATTCGAGGTGGTTTTAAATAACATATCCGTATTTATTTATTTCTCCAAGTTATGTTTTTGTGTGCACTGAGGAGTCGCAAACAGGCGTTTGTTTAATCATTTTAAGATTGGCTTTAATCAATGTTTGAAAATGAATTTTTCATATATGATAAATGAGAGGTAACATTTTGTTTATGGTATTATTTCCACATATTTCTCTCCATTCTTCCTTCTGCCAACGGTGTTGCAGTTTCTCGTCTCTCCCGTTTTTGTGCTTAGTGCGTACGCATGGGTTAGAGTTTGCGTGGAGGACCGCACGTTTTCCCGTCAAGTTAGTATTTTATAAATCGCAAACATTGCGTAGAAACTGCGTACGCCATTTTTTGAGCGTATATCCCTTTATAAATGAGGCCCCTGAAGAGGAGCAACTACATATGAACAGCTTATCGGTTGATTTGGAAATGTCTCACAAAATTGAAGAGGCTACCCGTGAGCAAAGGTCTAGCTCAGAGTGGCATCTGCTCCGCAAACCCAGGGTTACTGCCTCTAGGTTTAGAGAGATTTGTCACGTCAGAGATGAGAGCTCTGCTAACTCTGTTGCAGAGCGAATACTCAAAGGTACAAGGCAGACTGCAGAAATGAGGAGAGGTGCCGAGATGGAGCCCACAGTAGCAGCTGAATACAGTAGACTGGCAAACGTGAACTACTCCCCTTGTGGCCTTGTCATTCACCCCTCTACGCCCTGGCTTGGTGCCTCCCCTGATGGAGTTGTTTTTGACCCAAAAGAATATCCCCAATTTGGCCTTGTTGAATTCAAATGTCCCAATGTCCCAAATTATGTCGACTGCAAATATGTGCAGATGGAATGTGGCTCCCCTAAGCTCAAGAGAAGCCATGCCTATTACTGGCAAGTACAGGGTCAACTTCTTGTATCTGGGATGCAGTGGTGTGACTTTGTAGTGTGGGCACAGGAGGACTACCTGGTGCAAAGAATATACACAGATCCAGAAGTGCAAAGAGCAATCAGAGAAAAAGTAGACTTTTTTTTTTTTTTACACATACATGCCGAAGTACCTGTCATTAAAAAAGTAGAGGGCACTGTAAACTCTGTAAGCAGTTAGCTGCTAGACCCTGGCTCAGCCGTCATTGTTTTTAGGAGGCAATCCCTCAATCATGTGTTCTGAATGACAACAAAATGTGATTTCAATATTTAGTTTGATATATATTGTTTGTCACATTTCATATATGTAAATAAATATACAATTGTATTGAAAAAGACAATAAAGTGAAGTGATTTTTTTGTAATGAATAGTAAATTATTGCATTTGTAAGAAATCATCAACGCATTGTAATTTGCTATTTACCATTTATTCAAACAAAACACTAGCGTGTGTCAGGCAACACGGGATTACGGTGTGCTCACCCAGCTTAATCACAGCTACCTGCACAGGTGTCATCATCTTGTCTTATTTCACCCATTTCTTGACCAGTGCTTTGTTCTGATAGTTTGACAGCATACATGCTACTGCAAACAGTTGGTTGATGTTATAGGCATGGGACAGGAGGATGACACCATCAAAAAGTTTGTTCTCTTTTATCCTCCTGATGACACGCTCCACATGAACCCTCAGTCTGGCAATGGCCTGTGTCTCCCTCACCTGATAGGCTGGCATTTGCTTCTGCTTTGACAGAAAATGTGGGCAGTACACCTTGCATTTGCAGCAATCGCTGATCAGGAAGCCCTTATCTACCATCACTGCCATGTTTTCAGTCAACAACGCAGCTATTCCAGACTGTTTGAAAATCTCCTTGTCGCTGACAGAACCACCATACAGACTGGAAACAAATGTCACTGCGCCATGTGGGGCTATGCTAACCAGGGCTTTCATGGTGCAGTGAGATTTGTATGTAGAATACATTTCACTTTGGAGGAGGAGTGAGGATGGTGTTTGACACCTCAGCTCTGTGCAATCCAGGATCACCTGTGTGTCTGGGAAATCTTTGAATGCCTCTGGGAGGTGGGCTTGAACTTCTGCAGGTGTAAGCCAGATGCACTGTGACCCCAATAAAGTTGTAAGAAAACTCGTCCATGTTGCAATGATGCGGCTCACAGTGGACTGGTGTACGTTGAAGCGGTTTGCAAGGTCCCTCTCTTTCAAACCCACCGACAGGAAGCAGAGAAAAAGGAAGAACTCGTCAATTGGCTGAAGCAGCTGTCTCTGGAAGATAAAAACAAAAAAAGGGTACTATATTAATGTCATGAGTGTAGCACACCATGGGAAAAACATTAAGTTGTTTTAGTTCTCTGATGTATTCAAAAAGGATTGAGTACTATAGCCTTTTAGCCTACACGAAAGCAATGAAATGTCGGGGAAACATTTTCCCTTCAGTTTGTGTTTAGATTGTGTGTTAAAAGAAACGTAGCCTACCGTTGATGGACGTGCGTGTGTAACCACTTCTTCATTCCTCTTGGCAGCTGATATCGCTCTTGTAACACGAACCATTTTATAAATGGAAGGCTCAATCAAAAACTAGAAGGCCATCAGGTGGTTATAGCCAGGGCTGCACATAACTGGAGCGCAGGTGCTTATGCGCACCTCCGCCAAAAAAAGAGCACCGTGTCATTTGAAAAAAGGCGCATTTGCGTACCAACATTGAGAGAGAGAGAGGAGAGAGAGAAGAGAGAGAAAAGAGAGAAGAGAGAAGAGAGAAGAGAGAGAAATATATTTGCGAGTTGCATATGAACTCAGAGCCGGCCCGTAGCGCTGGCGTAATAGATGTTCGCCTAGGGCGCCAGATCTGTGGAGGCGCTGCGCTGACAGCTCTGGGAGGGAAAAAAACATTTTTGACCGTTGGTGTTCATCCTAATTTTCGGCCTTGATGTAACAATATTCATAATTAAGTAAATGTAACACCCTTTTCAACCCATTTACACATTTCATTTGCCCTGTACAATGGGCGCTGTAAGTGATGAAAGTGGGGGATGTTGGCTTATCTGGCAACCGCAGCTCACAGCCAAAATGCGAGTGAGCGTGGGAGAGAGGGAGGGTGCACCGGTACCGGCGCTGTTGTTATTAGAATCTGGTGCTAGCTGCTCTAACGGATATAAGAAGAAGATGTTTCTTCAATAATGTGGAGGGAAAGTCCTCTCCAGTCAGACTGAGAGGCTGATAACTACAGCTCAGTGAGGTAAGGACTCTGAGTGTTTAGATAGTTCACTTTAGTCTAAGTTCAAACGGTTTGGTCACAATTTATGTAAACACATATTTCCAAGGCACTCCTTTATAATTATTGGGATAAACAGGTTTGAAATCATTCCAATGCATACTATAGGACAGTAACCAAAAATATCCTTTAAAACTGGAGAGATAAAAAAAATTACATAAATAAATGTTGAGGTAAAATAAGATATGAATCAACAACATACATAAAATAAGTTACATTAATTTGTTATTGGCTATGGTAGGTTATTGGTTATGTTCACATACTTATTTGATTACATCCACTTGTCTAAGATGACAACAGAGACTTTCAACCCAAACCCAGCTGTTGACTTGTGGATGCAAGCATCTAATCACAGACTCAACCAGAGAGAAAGAATTAGGCCTACATCATCAGCTACCATGTCTGACAGAGAGGAAGACAGTGAGGAGAACAGTCAGGAGGGTAGTGATGACAGCTTGTAGGATTACTGGTCGTGCTAATGTTGTGTTGTGTTCACCTCTGCATGTGTGTTGTGTTCACCTCTGCATTTGTGTTCAGTGCCGTGTGTCTGACAAATAAAGTCAAGACCCCTCAAAAGTTACAGTTTATTTCATTTTAAGGATGAGCACCAAGCAACATCTCCAGGTGCTCCTTTGAGAACCAGGGCAAAAAAGTTATGTGCACCCCTGGTTATAGCTCGGGAATCTGTACACAAAAGACACATGTCAGTCATTAATTGACTCGTTAACTGTAACACATGGGCTAATGCTTTCCTCTTGTTTGCTATAATACATTACAATTCAAATAGACTGATTAAGAAGGCACTTGGTGCAGGTATAGTAATATACAGCAGTAACATGTAACAACTACATTAAAGCAGCAGTAATAATAATCTAAAACATACAGGGAACATTTTACACAGAATGACTACTTTTACTCTTCATTCTTAAGTGTGCAACTGGGGGAAAGGCAGTGGATATTGACATGTATTTTTACTTTGGTAAGGTTTTGAAGATTTCCACTTGTAGTAAAGTATTATCAGTATGTTGTTAGTATTAGTATGTTTTACTCCACCACATTTAGTTAACCTTCATAGTTTCTAGTTTCTTTTTATATATGAAAACACTTGATTTATGATTCTACATGTTCAGTTCAGGAGTATTTTCAAACCATAGTATTTGTACTTATACTTCAGTTAAGTTGAGTAGGCTACTTATTCCAACACTGCATGCAAATAGTCAGCAGTCAAACGGCAGGAAAACAGGATTCTTTATAAGCTAACCCATCTCAAAAACTTGAATAGAATTTAGCCAAAACATTACCTGGTATAGAATCGGATGTTGTCGTCGGAGCCAGCAAACCGCTGTAAGCAAAACTCTCGCTGGACTCTTAACTCCTGCAGTTGCTTCTGCAGATCCTCCAATGTTTTGGAGTTGTCTTCTGTAGCTTGAGAGGACATGTCCAGTGAAGCTGGTTCAGGGGTTGAGCAATAATCATGGTCACGGACATCGATGTGCTCTTCCTGCTCCTCCCGAGAGACTGGTTCAGTGGGCCGCTCCCTTCTCTCCCAAACACTAGCCCGCGGTGTTTGAGCAGTAAAGTGATTCCACTCAAACAGAGTTGGGACAGCACCTTTCACAAGCCTCCTACGGCCATCAAGGGTTTTTGGCTCTATTAGTTGATCCGTAGCGAAGTGACGACTGCAGACCTTGGAGTGAGAGGAGATTGTAAAGTTATCGCGTCGTATTTTAACCAGCCACTGTCTTCGCAGCTCGAGTTCGGTCGGAAAGCCATGGAAACTTAGGACGCCTTTGAATTTAGCTGACGCCGTACAAAGTGGGACACAGCAGTGCTCGGAGTAGTTCTTTACTTGTCTTTGCAAATGCTCCGTTTTGAAAATCTTCCGTCGACTCATATTTAAACCATAGATTTAAACAGTAAAACATTTGTGGACGCTCAGCTACGCAGACCGGAAGCCAACCGGAAGCTGCCGAGCCGTATTAAGGCTAAGGCGGAAGTACGTCTCAGACCCTAGTGCATGTTGCCTAGTAACGTGAGAGAGCTGCCTGCAAATGATGCTCTCATCTAGCAGCGATCCAGGGCCAGGCTCTCCGACTCCGGAGACCTTGCTCCACGGCGCTAGCAGTGCTCCCTCCCGCTCCTGGTCGTCAGCATGAAGCAGGTGTAGGCCTACCCGCTGATCTGTCTGCACTTAATGAACTGCCTTCACAACCAAAACTGAAGAAGTTACTGTTAATCATGGAAAAGCAAGGTGCTTCTCATCGAGGTGGTTGTATGAACATTTTCGCTGGGTGGAATACAGCGCAAGTAGGGATGCGCTTTTCTGTAAAATGTGCAGACATTTTCCCAGCCCAGGAGCTGAAGGTGCACTTACGAGGGATGGATATGTAGACTGGAAGCACCTGCGTAACTCGTTGGAGAGACATAAAAAAAGCGAGGACCACTGCAAGTCCATGAGCAGGTTTGAATGCTACAAACCTATTGTTGCTGTTACCTAGTGCAGGGGTTCCCAAAGTGGGGGTCGCGAGATGATTCAAAATTAAATTAAAATAAAAATAAAAATAAAAAATTGTTATTATTATTTTCCAGTGTTTCCCACATTTGATTCTATTTGTAGGGGCACCGCACCCCCCCACCCCCCATGCAAATGAGCCATAATCTCATTAAATATGCGCATATTTGAATACTTTCAGGAACACAATTCTGAACATTGGATAAAGTCAGGTTCGAAATTCTTGTTTCATTTTGTAGTCATATTAGAATCTAAAGTTTTTATAGAAGGGATTTTGGATATCTCTTTTTATCACTCCACAAATCAGAAAATACTGTCAACAGCTCTAAAATATCAATTTTCACCATGTTTTTAGGTATAAAATGTTATATAATTCAGGCTATGAATGATATATAAACAAACCCTTCTGTAAAAACCTTCATAATATTGATAGGAATATAACTGGAAGGTTTGGTCTATGTAAGTGCTACTGAAAAGGAAATTTCTCACTCAGTAACATGAGAAAAAACTCATTTTGAGAAAACGACCTTTAAAGATTGCTGTGTGGCGCCACCTAAACCCTTCTGTTCTTTGGATGACAGCTTGCACCTCGACGCACTCCGTGAAGGTATTTCATGTTCGGGATCATTTGTTTTTTTTATAACCTTGCTTCGTGCAAGTGACAATTGTTGTCACCTTCTCTGTGAATGTTTTTATCGCTGTTCTTTTGCCATTTTGAGATTTAAAATGTCCAGCCAAATCTAAACCAAGAAGTGTTTTAGCACACCATGTGACGCATCTGAACGAATAACGTTGTCAGAAATTGACACCAGCCAATGAGATTTCGTTTTTTGGTTTAAGACCCCTTTGTACTTTCACGATTGGTTGCTGATACAAAGGAAATGACCATATTTGGATCCGATGAGATTGTGCAGGAGAGACGGAGCTTTCGAACGATACCTCTGATTACATGGTGTAAACAGCGGTCGCGGTACTTTATGTTACGTTAGAATGCTACATTTTGGTGAATTTAGGAGAAACCTACAGACACAAATAGACAAACTATAGTAAAATAAACACTGTAATGTGTATTTTGTACATTTTACTTCCAAAAGCCTGAAAGAAAACAACATGTTATGGAATCAAAATAGCACAACATATCAAAATTGACCAGTGCATGAAAAACGATGTTTTTGCCTGCCGTGTCTCGCCCTAATGAGTAAGACACACCGGAGTTGAGGATCTGTGGGGTTTGTATGTCGATGTATGGGCAACACTGTTATTTGTATGACAATTCACTAACAACCAACCCCCCCCCCCCCCCCCCCCCCCCCGTTGACAATTCACGTGGCGGGGGGTCGCCAGCTACTGGCACAGTGATTTTGGGAGTCGCGGGCTGAAAAGTCTGGGAACCCCTGACCTAGTGCAATAAAAGAGTTACCTAAAGATTGTAAATAACCCAATTTGTGTTCTGTGAAACTGAAAAGGATATTACATTGTTTTTGTTACTTTCGTTGCAGTTGTATATGTCTTAAATGTAATTTAGGTTAACTTCTTGTTTTATTTTGAAGGCGAGTTTACGCTGTTGACAGGAAGTTGTTGTTGCTATGGAAACAACGTGATGGAGAAAAGGAGCGGAGATTAACGGAGAAAAGTCATATCTACATATATGTAAGTAGTAAAGGATAACGTTTGTTTAAGTTTAGCACCCCCCGAAGAGGCACAAGGTTTGTATAATATAAAAATGTGGGTTGTGTCCTAATTCGTTTGTAGACTCTGCTGTTTTGTAGCTTTGCTGTCTGTTTACAGTTAACATTTGGTAGTATG